CAGCCGCAGGCTGCTCTACCTGGTACTCACCTCCCCTCCTTCCTGATGGCTCAAAAATCCTCATACCTTCCTCTTGCCTTTAGGACTGAACTGAAACTCTCTACTCTGATACTCTAATTCCTCTATAACCCAGTCTCATCATTCCTTTGTAAAGGTCTCTAACCTTTACATTTTGGAACCTCATACAGGATATTCCTTCGGAGCCCTCTATCCTCTTTTCTACCTTGCAGCCCCCCTAGAAGAATCTTTGCTGGGACCACACCACCCTATCCTCCAAGCTTGGCTCTCCCCACGTCCCATCTTCCTCTACAAGTCTGATGCTAACTACAACTCGGCCTTCCGCTTTCTCCAGGGGTGGGGGTGTCAGGTGGGCATAAGGGCCATATTAGTTCCTCCAGGCTGGGGGAGGGATGAGGGCTTGGGGCAGTTAGGAGGCATTTGTAATAGATCAGGGCAGGGAAGCCTTTGGGCAGGAGTGGGATTTTAAGGAAAGAAATAAACTGAATATGAAACTGATAAATTGTGGGCAGGGGAGCCCTTGATGGGAACAGAGCCGTCCTGCTGAAATAGCCTGTGTTGGTGAGCCAGGCCCTCTTTGATGTGCAGAGAAACCCAGGCTGGCCACAGGGCTGGGCCTGGGGCCTCCACATTCCGCTAGCGGACTCTGCCATCTCCCACCACACGCCTCCGAGCACCTCTACTGGTTGATAGTTATCCCCAGGGAAAACACCACTGTTAGAGGTATTAAATAAGTCCGCAGTCCTCCTGTTGTGTTCATTTTTCTGTAACAACATACTTAGCAGCTCTTCACATTCACAAGACACTCCCCTACCTGACTCACCGTGTCCCTTCACACCCACGGGTCTCGCAGCACTGTCTCCACCCCTGGGAGCAGGAGGGAACCCTCTGCCCAGCGCTCACAGCTCATAGCCCTGAGGCTTCCAGCTAGGCACCCTCACCCCTTGACCTTGCTCGAGGCCTTGCAGATCATCCAAGTTCAAATGAAATGAACAACAATTCAAATAATAGTAAATATAACTTCAGACATAGAATATCTTGCTTCACAAAACAGAAAGCATCCTATTTGGAAATTACAGTAAGATCATTTCAGGGGGCAAGTGGGGAGGCCGGAGGAGAACTGAACAGTCATTTCTCACACCCTGGCCTGGTCTTAGTGTGGATAGCAGAGTTTAAACCTCCTGAGTGTGGGTTTTTGTTCCAGGTGTCTCATGTAATTCTGGACCCATCTCTCCTTCAGCTTAGCACAGACCTCCTTGTTCAGTTTGGTCCTGAAGCTGTGGATGAAGGAGGGTTGGTGTAGTTAGTGGAATCCTTTGAGGGTTTCACCCAGGAGATGACTCACTGGGCTGTCAACCTGTCTGGCCCACCTGCTGCCCTGGGATGGGAGAAAGGAGGTGCATGGAAGAGAGGGGGCCTCTGGAGGCAGCTGCTGGTCTTGCTGTCCGTGGAGAAGTGATCCTTGCATCTGCTAAAGGGAGTGGACTGGTGTTCGTGCAGGGAGCAGGGCATGGGGAGTTACTGGCCCTTGTTATAATGGGAGGGTTTATGTCACATAGTCTGGTCATGCCTCATCCTCTGAGCATAAGACCCCAGGTCACCCTGGCATCTGTCTTCTGAGGTAGAACTTTGGAATGAGGACTGTGGGGGCAGGGAGGGGTGCTGTGGGCAGGGTTTTCTACCCACATGACAGCCTCCTCTTGACACTGGCTGCTGGTGACACAATAGCTCTTCAGCTTCTGGAGGGGGATCTTCCTGCTGCTAAATGTGAAGCAGCAAGTGGTTGGGGCACTGAGCGCTTCTGGAAGTGAAGTCACAGAGAAAAACCCTTGGAGGATGTGCCGTCCGGAGCAAGTGTCCGCAGGGGAAGGCAAAGCAAAGCAGAGAGAGAGGAGTAGATCTTCCCCACCCCCAAGGTTAGTGCTCCTACCCTGTGCCCCTGCCTCAGGGTCTCAGACTCTCAAACTCCCAGCTGGACTGGGGGTGGGGGTCAGGCATGCATCACTGTGGTCTGGAGGAAGATGAAAGCACGGCCAGTGGACAAGCCCTGGGTGGGTCCCCTGGATCTTCAGAGTTTGGGGTGATCAGCTGGGGTCAGAGACCCCTGATTTGGAGTTGGCAGTTAAGTTTCAGTCTTGCTCTGGGATGGCCTGGAGGTAGGGACAGGATCCCTCTCGTTCCTACCCTGGGCTTCAGCTTTCTGTCTTTAAAATTAGATGTTACAGCAAAGCTCTGCAGAGCCTTGCTGTTCTGATGGCTTAGAAGTGGGGGGACAGATTAGGCTTACCTGGCTGAGCATGGCCCTGGGGGCTGAAGGCGGCCACCACCAGCAGCAGGCCCAGCAGCCCGGCGGAGCTCTTCATGCTGGCGGTGAAGGGCGAGCTTCAGCGTCTGGGTCTGTCTCAGTCTCTCTGCTGCTCTGGCTGCTCTGCCCGCCTTTTATGTGGGAGGGTAGTTGGGGCTCTCAGAGGACCTTTGCCTGGGCAGGGTCATGGTCAGCTTATGATGAACGGGGTCCTGAATCTGCTGAGCTGCAGCTGGGTGCCAAGGAATTTTCCAGGAAATGCAAGAGGGAAGCTGTGGGCTAGAATAGCCTGGGCTCTGTTTCCTTCTGGCTACCAGGCCACAGTGAACAGGAGAGGAAGCAGGGAGCGCAGATGTGCTCCGGGCACTCACCATAGGAAGCTCTCCCAGCAGCTGCTCCAGACATCACCAACATGAAAAGGAAAACAGTGGAAAATAGCTCCTGTAGAGAAAGAGCACTATGCTAAGTGCCCTGAGCCTGTCACCGTTCAGTCCTGAGGGAGTACATTACATCATTATTATGCCCATTTCATAGATGAGGAAATTGAGGTGCAGAGAGATTAAATAACTTGCCCAATGTCTCATGGGAAGTGAGTGGGGAATCTGGAAGTGAAAGCTAGTCTGTTTACATTGACGCACCAAGGCTGGTTTCAAACTCTCCCTTAGCTGCCAAGTTTGATTTTCCAAGCCAAGTTTCATGCAGAAGTCCAATAGCTGAGACGGACCAAGTCAGGTTCTGACGGCAGGGCTCCCCACATCACAAGTTTGTGCCTCCTTCTGCCACTCAGGCCCAGAGGGGCATGGTTTGCAAACCTCTGATTTACCTGGGCCCCTTGTTTCCAGGAAGGACATTGGGTTTCTAGAACTGTTGATGAGGTGTTAGGGGAGCACGTAGCAAAGAACTGGGTGCTCTTTGCCCCTGTTCCTGGCCCTTTCCTGGGAAGAGCATGTGCCTTTGAGCTAGGGCTGTGGAAGGAAGTGTGGGGCGGGGCAAGGGCAAGGTCCCCTCCCACACACACATACTTCCTTCCAAAGCCTGCTCCCCTTCACCCAGGCTCCAGGACTATGCTCACTTTTCGTGCCTTCCTGGAGTTCTGCTCTAGCAAAACAAGCCCAGTCAAATCAAAGGGAGAGAATAAAGAGCTAAGATGAGAGGAATGGAGAATGACATACATCCCCAAGGACTGATGAGCTCCAAAGTTGGCTCTTTGACAAGCCTCTAATGAAGCTAAAACTCGCTTGGACTAACCGTGAAATACTACACAAAGATAAAAGGCACGAATAACCAATAGCAGGGAATTTTTAAAAAAAAAAAAATGATGCCACCACAGAGCTTGCAGATGCCGAAAAGAACATAAGGACCTTGTGCCAAAAAAATTTAATTTAGAGGAAAGGGATGAATTTCCCCAAACTCTAACTTGCCAGATTGCAAGAAGAAATGAAAAATCAAAAGTAATTCTAAAACTATTCAAGAAATGGAAATCAGTAATTGAAAATATTTCCACAAAACATCCTCCTGGCCCAGAGGGTTTTAACAGCTAATTCCTCCAAGAATTCAAGGAACTGATAATTCCCATCTTACCTCAGTCTCTTCCAGAGAATAGCAAAAGAGCATACACTGCTCAATTTGTTCTGATGCGTCTTACATAACTTTCAGGCAGGAATTAGTCAAAACCTGCATGAGAAACGGTTACAAGCTTGTCTCTGCAGACACGCTTTATTCTTTTCTGTCCTACTCTCTGCCCCGTGAAGTCAACCTGGGTGGGTGACATCGGTGGAACCCTGGGTGCAGGTTAGTGTTGGGACAGTAGGGAGCCGCTGAGGACACCAGAGGGGCAGAAGAGTTAAACTGGGTTGATTTGCCCTCTGGTATCGCCCCATGTAGCTCAGTCTGGACACATCCCTCGACCAATGCCTTTGACTTGTTTGGAGGTGGCCCCTCCTGACTCTCTGCATCCAGGTTTAGGGAACCACCTCTGTCCTTCCTCTTGGGATCTAGAGGGGGGTGACAACGCTCTGGCCAGACTCAGAGCACCAAAGTATTTCCATGGTTTCTCCATGTCCACTCACATCTTTATAAATAGTTTCTTTATCACACTTTTCTCAAATTCTTCCAATTTAAGTATTGATTTCTTGCTAACTGATAGAGGATTGGGTACCCAGAGCTGGCCCATGTGGAAGGGGCGTTCCTCTGGGGAAGGGCTACTATGTATAGGAGAACCTCCATAGTTGACCATATCCCTACGGTGACCACCTCCTTAAGTTGACCTAATTTTTATAGACAGGCACCACATGTACATACCAGTATAGTAGGCCTAGCTCCTCATGTTGACCGCCTCTGTAAGTTGACCAATTTGTTACAGTCCCTTGGCTGGTCATCTTACAGAGAGGTTCTCCCATATATACTTTATCTCACACAATAGACACAATAATCTAGTGTTGTCCCAGGGAAATTGACGTGCGCCACCTCCCTCTTCAGTGGGGACTCGGCACCTTCCCCCTTGTTGTATCACCAATTTTGGTGTTTACAGGTTCCAGCTTTTTTATTTTTAAGCAATATGTTATGCCATTTTGAAAAATTATAGGTACATACTAGTTGTATATCTTTATAGGATACATGTGAGGCTTTGATTCAGGCATTCAATGTGAATTAATCAAAACAGAGTAATTGCTGAAGCAGTTAGCATTTCTTTGTGGTAATTGGAACTTTTCCATGCCCCTCTTTTAGTTAAAGGATACCCTGGCTTGCTGCTGATTCCCGTCACTTTGTTGTGTTCCCAAATACTGTTCATTCCACCCATCTCTTTTGTGTTCCCATTAACCATCTCCACTTTATCCTCCTCACCCCCTTACCCGCTCCCCTTCCCAGCTCCTGGTAACCATTGCTCTGGTCTCTGTCTCCCTGAGATCAACTGACTTTAATATTTTGCTCCTTCGTATGAGTGAGGACATGGGAGATTTGGTCTTTCTGTGCTTGGCCCATTTCACTCAAACACAATGTTCCCCAGCTCCATCCACGTTGTTTCAAATGTCGGGATTGCATCTTTTTTGTGGCTGTATACTATTCCGTTGTGTATCTGTACCACAGTTTCTTTATTCACTCTTCTGCTTGTGGACAGTTAGGTTGATTCTGTATGTTAGCTACTGGGGATAGTGCTCTGTATGGTTTTGGAGTCAGGATGATACAGGCCTTATAGAATGAGGGTGGGAGTATCCCATCCTCCTCCAGTGTTTGGAATAGTTTAAGTAGATTGTCACTAGTTCTCCTTTGAATGTTTAGTAGAACTTAGCAGTGAAGCCATCAGGTCCTGGACTTTTCTTCGTTGGGAGTCTCCTTATTACTGCTTCTGTCTCATTGCTTGTTACTGGTTTTCTCAGGTTGTGGATTCCTTCCTGGTTCAGTCTTGGTAGGTTTTGCGTATCTAGGAATTTATTCATTCCTTCTAGGTTTTCTCATTTATTGGCATAAAACTGCTCTCTTTGGCCTTTGGTTGAAACGTCTCTCTTGTCATCTCTGATTTTCTTAATTTGGCTAAATGTGTGCCTATTTTGTTTATCTTTTCAGGGAAAACTTTTACTTTCGTTGCCCTTTTATATATTTTTTTACTTAAATTTCATTGATTTCTGCTCTGATCTTTATGATCTCTTTTCTTCTACTAATTATGGGTTCGGTTTGCCCTTGATTTTCTGGTTCTTGGGGGTGCCTGGTGAGGTTGTTTATTTGAAGTCTTTCTACTTTTGTGATGTAGGCACTTATTGCTATAAATGTGTCCCTTATTACTGCTTTTTCTGTATCCCATAGGTTTTGATAGGTCATGTTTTTCTTTGTTTTGGAAAATGTTTAAATTTCCTTCTTAATCTCCTCATCGACTCACTGTTCATTCAAGAGCATATTATTTCATTTCCGTGTTTCTGTATATTTTCCACTGTTCTCCCTATTATTAATTTCTAGTTTCACTCCAGTGTGGCCAGAGAAGATACTTGTATGATTTCATCCAGTTTCTAGCTTCTGCTGCCCTCTCCTTCTGGGGAGCTTCTAGGGTGGCTGCCTAGAGCTGCCTCTTCCTGGGACCAAATGGAGAACGCCAACAGGAACAACATGGTTTTGGCACGTGCTGGACTGGGCAAAGAAACGGAAGCTTTTCTATTGGGGCAGCAATTCGTGGAAAGATTTTTATATGTTTAAAAATAACATTTGATGACTTAGAATACTTGGGAAATCTATCTTAGAAAGCATCCAAATATTATCAAACCATTTTCATATTCAGCATTGAGACAGAAACACAGGAAAAATTGGTTTTTGCTCTTTTTTCATTTTTCCTGTGTGACTATCCGGGATTTGACTAGATACCGATTAATCTCAGATTGTTAGTTAATGCTCAGCCAGAAACATTGTCAAAAGTCATTTTATATTTTCAGTAACTTAGTATGTAAATGAGTGCCTAGTCTTCTGTTACACAGGAGCACAGGAACTTACCTAGACAATACCATGCTATTAGGCATTTCATCTATTTGACTGGGATTCTAATGGAAGTCATGATGCCCAGAAGAATTCTCTATCAGCGTCACTGTTCACCTCCTAGACATGGAAGCGGGCTTGCAAGATCAATGATGTAAATAGTTTCAGGCTATTAAAACATGTTGCAGGGACGGCATCTGTGGCTCAAAGGAGTAGGGTGCTGACCCCATATGCTGGAGGTGGTGGGTTCAAACCCAGCCCCAGCCAAAAACTGCAAAAAACAACAACAACAACAAAAATAAAACATGTTGCAGATTTATTATATTTGTGTATTACTCATGTAATAAAATACACACATCTTACAGGTATAGCCTGATTAATTTTTTAATCTCTGTATGCAACACATAACCACCGCTGACATCAAAGCTGACCTTGCCATCATCCCTGCAGTTCTCTTGAGTCCTCTTCTAACCAAGGCCCTGTCTTCTAGAGCAGTGTTTTTAACCATTTTTATCTCCTGGCACACTTGAACTTGTAGTTAAACTCCCATGGCACATTTAAATTATTTTGATCAAACAATAATGGTTCAAAAAATAATCT